ATTTGTTTTGGTTGAGTGATATTTTTGTGAAAAGTGACTGAATACCAGTTAGGATTCTTTGACAGTAGAGTTACACCTACCAGCTTTCGTGTGGGCTTGTGCTTGCAGGTATTGATGTGGGAAACGTTAACAAAATGATGCCATATATGTTCTTTTTTTTTCCCCCATGAACAGTTAATAGATTAGCTGGGGCTGTAGGCAGTGTTATATTTTATAAATACATTGCGGATGTGTGGGATTGCTACTAAATGAAGGGTTTAGAACCTGCTAGGTTTTTGTCTTCTAGGTTCCGTGTCCCGGTGACCACTACCCCTAGGGCAGGAAAACAAAGGTAATCTCAAAAAGACACAGCAGTTAGCCCTGGTTCACATATATGCAGCCGTACGGGCCACGTTTTGCGCGGGCACAAGAGCCCATTGATTTGCATGGACTCCTGTACCCCGTGAAAAGCAGGGAAGAAGTCCCTGCACTTTTGAAAACGCAGCCCGCATGGGAACCTTGGTTCCCAGTACGGTTGCGTTTTTTAGTGCGGGCGGCGTGCCATTAGAACTAATGGCACCCGGCCCACGGGTCCACATTCCTCTGTGTGGGTGGATTTTCGTGCGGATCCGCAGCGGCACCACCCGCACATATATGAACCTAGCCTTAAAGCCTGACAGATGTTCTACCGCTCCATACTCTGCCAATATAGCTCTGACATTTGCTTTTTTATTGAGTCGCAGGAGCTTTTAACCATAATGTGCTAGCATGCACAACTTATTGGCACATTATGGCAGACTTATCTAGCAAACAGCCACCTCCAGCGTTTTGTTGTCAGTGCTCCTACCTGTCAGTGTTTTTTTTTTTTTTTTTTTTTTTTGTTTTTTTTTTTTTGTTTTTTTTTTTTTAGGTTTAATTCCTAAACGGGCAGCACAGTGGCTAAATGGTTGGCACTTCCGCCTGGCGTTACTAGGGTCGTTGGTTCAAATCCCAACCATGGCACCACCTGCCTGGAGTTTGCATGTCCTCCCTGGGTCTGCGTGGGTTTCCTCCGGATACTCCGATTTCCTCCCACACTCCAAAGACATGCTGGTAGGTTAATTGGCTCCTGTCTAAATTGGCCCCAGTATGTATGAATGTGAGTTGGGGACCTTAGATTGTATACCCCTTCAGTGTTAGGGACTGATGTGAATGTACAATATATATGTAAAAGCACTGCATAAATTGATGGCGCTATACAAGTACCTGTAATAAATAAATAAATTCCACTTTATTGCTACCAATCCGTGCTCTTACTGGCAGTCAAACGTCAAGCACACCTTCTACATTCGGTGCATTTGCAGTGTGAAAAAAAAATGCAGCTTGCTGTCCTTACTAATTATTTTTTTTTAATTCTCTGCACTGTACTAGTGTGAACTATGTCCATAGGATAACCTGGATTTTGGACTGTCTATTTGGTGTGCAGTCAGAATTACATCCCACTGCATCTGGTGTGAATGGGAGTAGACATGGTAGTGCTGCAAGCCAGTAAGGCCCTACTGCATAGCACAGTGCTGTCAATCTAGCACATTTTGCTGGAGCTCCTCTTTGGGGCTCATTCACACTAGAAACTACACAGCTACTGTATGTGTTTTCTTTCTTGCACATTTGAATGCATTTAATGTTTTATGCGTTGATGCACGTTTTCTATCTTCATTTGTCCTGTGAGGTTACTTACTACTTATTTCTTTCCTTGGGTTTTTGTGTGTGTAATGTGGTGCAATGCATTTGCGCATGTTTTTATGCATTTGCGCTGTGGAAAAATGCAGCACGCTGGTTTATTTTATTTTTTTATTTCACTGCACTACACTGCAGTGGTGTGAACTATGCCCACAGGATAACCTTGATTTTGGACTGTCTATGCAGTTGAAGTGCAGCCAAAAATGCATCCAACTGCTCCTGGTGTGAATGTGCCCTTACAGTAGTACACTCAGCACTGACTGGCCCCAGCTTGACATTTTAGGTAATCTGCTTCTTCAGGAAAGATAAGATATACTGATAGTGTGTTGGACCACAGGATTGCTGCCATTTAAAAGGCTATATGCATAAACATCATTTTAGTTTGTGACATTTGCTTTACTGTATGTTACGTGTGTGTTTTTGTTTTCTTTAATACTAAATTAGATTTATCAATCTGTTAAATTATTAAAGGCACTACAACCCATATCTGTTATATTTAGTACACTATGTAACATTATTGATTTTTTTTTTTTAAAGGTATTTGATTTAAATGATTCATTTACAATGATTATTGCAGGCATCATCACTTCTTTATAATGCTGCTGGCTACACTCTGGTGATGTTGGTGAATTATAATGTGTTGTCTACTGAACTGATCAGGAAATGGAGGCATTTGTGATGGTGATTAGAGTCCTTTATAACAAAAAAAGGCCTTCCAAGAGTTAAATGCCCAATTCATGGTTTGTCGATGAAACATTTTAAGGCAAGGTGTGAATGATCGTCCGTTTTTTTTTTTTTTTTGCATACTAGCCTCATATCAAAAGTTGAGGAGGTTACTAAAGTTACGAAAATTCTTGTATGACAGAATAAAAATTTGAAAGCGATGTCATGTATTGAATTGTTTTGTATTTTCAGATGAAAACGGTTCAGGTTAAAGGAAAATTGTACAATGGGGCATCGTACAAGAAAAGTGTTCGTGTTTGTCCCTTCGAATAATTTTGGACGAAAGCTGTGTACTAACAATCAGATTATTGTACAATCGCGCCGAAAGCGGTGTTTTTCATACAATTTTCTGATCGTGTGTACTTAGTTTTAGTACATTGAGCCAAATGTGTGATTACAAATTTGCTTGGGCTTGTTCACAGCAGATGCTTTTGGGTGCATTTTTACACGCATCCAGAATGCATACACAGTAAAATCAATGTTTTCTAGTTACCTTGGTTCACATCATTGCATTCAGATCCAGTGCTGTCAAAAAGTACAGCAGCATTTTAATTGCACTGTAACAGTTAAAGTGTTCCTAAACCCACAACAGTAAAATCAGTCTGTATATGCTGTAAAGCATGCTTGTTATAGTCATACTGGAACCGAAGGGGTTAATCCTCCACAAAAAGGTTTGATCCTGTTTTCTTTGATTTTACCCTTCTTCTGCTGTCTCTTAAATATCTCCTAATAGAACAGAGGCTTGGGGGCAAGCTGCACATGCTCAGTTTGGTGTGTATTGCTAGAGTTTAGCAGTGCAGTACCTGTGCAGATAATTGCCTATTTGCCAATGACAGACAAATCTTGGGTGGATGTAGGTACTTCTATAGGATGGTGCACTAGCACCTCAAAGCACTGGCATTACAAAGACAATGGCAAAAGTCTGAGATGTGGAGAAAAATAACTGCCCAAATCTATCCACTGATGCACCTCACCGTTACTAGTGTAGAGTGAGCAGTACCATTGTTTGTGGTCACATGCTCTGCTTTTTGTGTACTATTCCCATAGAGCTGAATGCGTCTGCAGGTAGATGTGCAGTCCATCTCGGGGGAGAGCCGAGCAGGTAAGGGTGGCTACCTTCACATACCCCTGGGGCATGGAAAACAAACGTAGCCACCCTAGAACAGGAAGTCTGAGAAAAGCAGATAAAAGCTTGCATTTGTGAGCTGGATCGAAGGAAAATAGAGATAGAAGGTGCATTCTAGTTATATTTAGACATATTGCATTTATTTTTATTTTTTTTATAAAAAATTTACTTTTAGTATCACTTAAAAACATGGTTTATTTTTACAATGCAGATTAAAAAAAAAACTCTGCTTGAATGGAACACTAATTTTACAAATACTGGCACCTGTAACAGAGATTTCTGTTATTAATAATTAAGCTTGGATGATGTCTTTCACAGCAAGGCAAAGAGACTGTATACATTCCAGGGGAGATATGTCAGATGTTTGAGCACAAGCAACACACAAAGTTCTCAGATTTATTTGGTTTAAAATAGGACATTGGACTGTTTATAAGGGATATATTGCCACTTTAAAACAGAGATGGCACATTTGGTCTGCTTGGGTTGATTTATATTAAAACTCCTCTGTGCGGAATGTGTGATCGGTTTGGGTCCAATGAAAGACGCTTCTTTCCTGTTCTTTTTTTTCTTCTGTCCATTTCTACTTTCCCACTCTTCTTAATATGATTTCGTATAAAGCCCTAAAACTGCTCTGTTAGTTGCTTTCAATTGTATAGAGCCCGTATACTCACCATGGAAACAGTGATTCACAAGACTGATATTATGTAATAAAACTGTCATTTTTTAGACTTACAAATGTTCATATTTCATATTTCTTACACATCCCATATCTTGTGACAGTAATTTTTCTGAACTAATAAGATTGAAATTAGCCTGTTGTGTTGATTTTGGAAGTAGCTGTTTGGAAGACAGACATTCAGGTATACTGGCTGGAGAAAGTGAGCAAGGAGTGGAAGAAGACTACATGCCTAACCCCTTCTTCCTTTACATAAATGGATCTGGAGCAGCTAATATGGCATGACCATTGCAATGAGAATATCAGCATCTCTTGCAATAATCAGGCCATGCTTGGACCATGTAGAGGCTCTTTACTGGGCAATATTGAGGCAAGCCAATGTTCTTTTAAGCCCTCATTGGTCCTGTTTTGGCAATACGATCAATTTCCATACAACCGTACAGTATATGTATTTTGCCCCCTGCTTACAATTCTGTGAGACATCTCCTGAGAATAAGAAAGTGGAATAAAAAATGATTCTACAAAAAATGTTGATTTGATTAATTTATATGCCAGGTTTGCTACTTCTGTTCTGGCCTGACTACACTCAGACCTTGTGACGTTTTAATGATTGCGTATTCAATATACAGACATGGCCTTCTGCAAATGCTAGCAACATTTTAATCAAAGTGCTACTAAACCCACAATAATAAAATCAGTCTGTATATGCAGTAAAGCATGCTTGTTGTACTCACCGTGGAACCTAAGGGGTTAATCCTCGGCATTATGTAAAAACGCTGTTTGATCCTGACTTCTCTGATCCTCCCCTTCCAGTGCCCCCCTCTTATCTCCTGATAAGACATATGGTGTGGAGTCATTCTGCACATGCTCAGTTTGGTGTGTATTGATAGAGAGTTTTTTTTTCTTTTCTTCAGAGTGTGCATGTGATCAGCACAGGGCCAATCAGCACTGTCCAGACAGAGGTCAGGAAGTAGAATGAAAACTCCTCCTACAAACTTTAACATTGTGCTGTGCTGGACACTGATAGAAATCACAAGACTGCTCTGACTGCTGATGAGAAAAGGTATTTAGCAGTTTATATTTACCAAAATAATTGCACTTCCATGTTCTATGTACTGTGGGAGACCAGATATAGTGAATGCAGGGTCCTGGGTTTAATAACACTTTAAAATATATTTATTAATTTTGGATTGGGATTACAGATTTGGATTAGGGAAGGTTTAAAATCCTTGCCTGTTTTTTTTTTGCAATGTGTCTTGTTCAAGAGATTTCTCTTCACTTAGACACGAGTAAGTAAAAGCAAATTTATCGAAAGGGAGTTAAAATACCACTTAGACAGTTGTTACAACAACGTATGTCCCCATTGGAAAATTTCCACACCATATTTGACAACTCAGAATTTAAATTTTTTTTTTTTCCCCTTTAAAGTGTTCCTAAACCCACACCAGTAAAATCAGTCTGTATATGCAGTAAAGCATGCTTGTTATACTCACTGTGGAACCTAAGGGGTTAATCCTCCACGTTGTGCAAAAAGGCTGTTTGATCCAGACTTCTTTGCCCTCTCTTTCCTTTACTTTCCCCAGTCCATCTGGCATAGTACAGAGCAGCAGAGTTAAGTCTGCACATGCTCTGTTTGGTGTGTATTGCTAGATATATAATATATATATAGCTCCGCACTGTTTGGACAGAGGGTCAGGAGTCATGCAGCTTCATAGGATATTCATAGGGGAATGAAAACTCCTCCTACAAGATTAACCAGTGGGGTGTTAGGATTGAAGATAGTCAGTGTTCACTGAGAGAGAGTTGATTTCCATTTTTAATGCCAGAGACATGTAGGCAAGTAGTATATTCAGAAGTTCAGCAATGGCATTCCAATATTTCTGTCTCTGTATGTTTCCTTTAAACCTCACATCCTGTTTTGTGCATTCGTCAAACCAAATGAGTTTTAAAACTTTTCAAATGATAAAAAGTTTAATTTCAGCCCATTAAACATGAATATTGCTTTTCATACAATGCAGCCTTTCTAGCATTACCATGCAATGATCTCTCCGTACATGAACATTTGTAATGGCAAACCCTGAGACCTGTAATGCTAGCAGTTGGGTAGGATGGAATTTTCAGATTTTTTTTTCTCTGTTGAAGAGGCAGAGATGAATGAAGATAAATCTGTGCAGTATTGCCTCTTAGACAGTAATTGAGAGATTTCCTAACATACCTACAATACTGGGTGTGTGTGTTGGTTGAAAGCAAGCTCTGTCAAGGGTTATGTCTTTAGTTTCTAAATGATCAAATTTCGTCAAACATGGAAAGCTTTATAGAGAATCCATTGAAACACTAGAAATGCGTTGGTGACCAGATGACACCTCAACAAGACAAGTAAATTGATATAGACATTTCCTAATCATTATCTGAGGTTATTGGATGAAAAATATACTTTGAGTTAAAAATACACTCTTGTGAAGATTGAAGAAAAAAAAAAACACATAACCTAGGGCCTATTTTTAAGGGCTTCAGAATTTAATCCAGACATAGTTGTAGTCCTCCAGACCATGGCACCTTCTGGTAACCAGTGAAACTCTTGCTCGATTTGTTTTTTCAATACTGGAGAGGTTTTCCTAAACTTGGGCATAGATCAGACAGAGAGAGAAGATATTATTCTGTAATTGTTTCAGAAGACCCAGACACCCCACATCTGAGGAGACCTCTGAAATCTGGCTGCAGTAGATTACACAGACCTTAGCTTGGAATACACTGAATGTACTTTATGACTTTACCACAGGTACAGTTTTTCTTGGCTCTTCCTGTATACCTTTACAAAACACCTATGGATGGCAAGGATGCCATGAACCTAAAAGTAAGCTGTAGCGAATAACTGCTGTCCCAGGTGCCTACATTGACTTTATCGTAGTGATGGCATTAGGTGAATGAAAAAACCTCCAGTTGTAAATATTGCCAGACCCTTTGTTGTGTGTAGCAATGAGAAGTCTTTAATTCTATTCCACTGTTTGTCAGAAGGGATAGGATATGAGCTATGTTTTAATCTACACTACAAGGGAATAAACATGTGGGACATGTAATGTGCAGTTATGTATAGCACATACAGTATACGGTATGTATTGAAAGTTGCATATATGTAGCAACAAACCTGTAAAAAAACGTACTTTTATATCATTCACCATACACTATACTAGTGTTTCTGAATGGATTTCTTTGGCACGCATAAAACTCGCTCAGATAGAACCATTATCCAGAGGAAATGCTTTTGTCCTCTGAAAAGTAGGTAAAATAAAGGTACGATACCATGAATAAAAAAGCCCTGACAACTCAAATATCTATAGCTCTTTGGGGCCGAGGCTTTGGCCCTTGTTGTGTGTCCATTTTGTAGACCCTATTAATGGAAGTATGAGCCTTGCTCTGTAATGGCAATGATTGCGATCTGTCACATGTCCACAGTCCTGACTGTCTTTTGCAGTAGGTTTCTTTAACATGTCTACAGTCTCTGACCATCTCCTCCAGTATATTTGCAGTTTTTGACAGTCCACTATAGCAGTTGTCTGCAAACTGTGGCCCATGTGCCAGATGCAGCCATTTGCTTGCCTTTATCTGGCCCTTGGGGCAGTGTTGCACCTATTGATACGAGGCACTATTCCTCCCACTTACACTGATGAGGAGGCACTATTCTTCCCACTGACACCAACATTGGGGCACTATTGCGCCTGCTAACACCAAGGATGGGCACTATTCCTCCCATTGACACCAACATTGAGCCACTATTCCTCCTATTAACACCCACAATGAGCACTATTCCTCCCATTAACACTAATGATGGGCACTATTCCTTCTCCTACTGAACACCACTAGGCTTGAGACATACTAAAACTTGAGATTGGAGTTGTGCTCTGATGCAGTTGTGCATGGCAGACAATCCGCTTCTAACTTCAGCTTGTTCAATTAAGCTTTGCAATATACAACTGGAAGCTGATTGGTTTCTATGCAGAGTTGCACCAGATTTTGTGCTCTCTGTTTTTAGCAGATCGACCCCATAGTCTATTCCCACTGGCTACAGTCTAGCCCCTCTAAAGTCTTAAGAACAGTAAACTGGCCTTTTGTTTAAAAAGTTTGGAGACCCCTGCTCTATAGCAAAACATATGCTGAATATCAATTGCTCTTTTTTTCCTTTTTAAAGGCTGCAGTTGAGGCACCCAATGCCCCCATAAATGTATAGTCTCTGGTCTATAAGATACCACCATCAGGGTTGGGAAATTTTAAGGTTTGAAGCAAGCCTGGATATACAGTATGTGCTTTGGGCAAAACAAAAAGCAAAGCTTGAGTACCTAAGTAACCAGGATGTTAGAAACTTTTTTAGATTTTTGTGAGGTCAACATTAATATGGAAATATGTAATATGCAATTTCCCCATCACCCTCCTGTCATCTGCAACTCTTATTTTTACCAGGGGACTATGTTACAGAACCATTTCATTAAAACCTAGTTAAATATACTTGCTTCCCAAGTTGTTACAACTGTAAAAGTTAGCTAAACTAGTGCATTTTATGTATAATCAGGATGAAATATATTCAAGATCAGTGTGTGGGTGTAAAGGTGAAGTTTGAATAGGAAGTCTTTCACATTTAATTATATCTATTATAATACATACACGTCGCATAGAAAGTGCCACTGCTTAGTTTACTGCAACTTTGAAAATGAAAATTGGGTAAAATAATACCTGTGAACTTGCAAGTACAAAATGTTTTTCTTCTTCAGAAATATACTCGGGTGCTGCTGGGGCTTTTATCCTTTCAAACTCTGCATTTGCTCATTTTCTAAATGTATTGACTTTTTTTCTCTAAATGGTTCGCGTCAGACCTTACTCTTTCTACATGGCACTTTCTTTGATGCCGCATTTTTTGTGGAGATAAAAACATGATGAAAGATAAGGGAAGCAAATATAAAGTTGTTACCCATAATGACTAATCAGATTTCTTTTTAAATTAAACAACTAAACCAATGTGTCACCAAAGGCAACAACTATTACCTTTTTCCATTAGTTGTCGTTTTTTTTTTTTTTTTTTTTTTTTTTTTTTCTTCCAAAATCAACCATATTTAAAAATCTGTAATGCAAAAGGGTGAACTGTGGTAATATTTAAAAAACATTCCATTTCTACATGCATTTAGAGTTTATATTTTAAAAAGGAACTGGATATAACATTCATTATTGGTGAAAAATCAGCCTTCCACCTGAGAATGGCTTTTCTGATGGGCAGTGTTTCTCAACCTTTTTTCAGTCAAGGCTCCCTTTAAAATTATGGACAATCTCAAGGCACCCTCTACAATTATGGATAGTCTCGAGGCACCCCATTCTAAAATGTAAAAAACTATTCTAAAAGTTTTACATAATGCGTCAACATCCACACACGTAGGACACCCAACGTTAAAGGTGATTTATTCTTCCAAATGAAATATAGTTTTGCACGCTGGTATTATTATTATTATTATTATACAGGATTTATATAGCGCCGACAGTTTGCTCAGCTCTTTAACATTATAGTGGGAGACAATACAGTAACAATACAGTTCAATACAAGAGGGATTTGAGGGACAGATTGGAGTCTAGAATTACACCTAGTACCCTGGCATGAGAGGAGGGAATGATGATAGTGTTATTGATCTTGCTGGAGAAGTCGAGGGGTGGCACAGGCTGGGGGGGAATACTAAGAGCTCAGTTTTGGAAAGATTGAGTTTGAGGATGTGGAGTGACATCCAAGCCGATATGTCACTTAGTAGGCTGGTAATGCGAGTGGAGACTGAAGGGGTGAAGTGACGGGTAGAAAGATAGATTTTTTGTGTCATCAGCATAGATATGGTAATTGAAGCCGT